CCCCAGATGCTTAACTCAGGCCAAAGCAAAGCAGTACTAACACTTAGTTGTGACTGAGGCCCAGAGAGATGGAGTTACTTTTCCAAGGTCACAGCAAGTTTCAGGAGCCAGAGCAAACATACCAGCACTCTCCTTCTCTGCCTCGCTCTTCAGTTAGTGGGGGAAGCACAATGTGGTCTTACCCCTCTAGATCCCTGCTAGCAGGTCCATGTCACTACAGTGTTAACACCTGGCGTGTACCTGTCTCAGCCCAGCTCCACCTCTCAGGCCTTTCCAAATCCTCCTTCTGGATCCCTGATGTTAGTCCAGTGCTCACCCAATGTGGTGTTGCCATATCGGTCCCCTCGTGGTCTACAGAAGTCATGATTTTTGTTGTTTTTTTAATTGGAAGGCACCTGGGCTCTCCAGAGAGAGCGCTATGGGCGTGTTCATGCTGCAGTCCCTCTATTTTTCCATCCTGTCAGAATTTCGGACATGCATGTGTGACCTTTTTAAGCTGCCTGTGTCAGGATCCCAGGTGCAGTTGGCCATGTGGGATCCAACTTCCCTAACCCCCTAGGCAGTGGGCCTGACCTGGTGGTCATGATTTTATAGGGAAGATTGGTGGCGAGGATTTAGGCAGTGGGCCTGGCCTGGTGGTTGTGATTTTATAGGGAAGATTGGTGGCGAGGATTTCCCTGTGATGTGGCCCTCAAGAGTCTTCCTCTCACCTCCCTTTGCTTCTAAGAAAACCACCTTCTGGGTCTGCTGAAAGGTACCCCTATAAGTGTGTGACAGGATGCCCCAGTGTGATCTGGGCAAGTCACTTAATCTGTGCTGTCGTGTAAAGTCTTGGAACAGAGCCTGGCACATACCAGGTTAGCATGTATATAGAAAGGGATCCAGAGGGAAAATCGCACGCCCGCCCCAACTGGCAGGGTTGTTGGGAGTGTGCGTGAGGCAATGAAGAAAAGTGCTGGAATGTTTGCCCTGGCTCCTAAAACTTGCCTCTGTGATGCTGGGAAAGTTACTCAACCTCTGTAGGCTCAGGTTCACCATCAAAGAGGAGAGAATTTGGGCCTCGTTCTTAGGGCCTCGTTTTAGTGAGGACTAAATGAAACAATGCCACCAAGCATTAACACCAGGCCTGGCCCCTAGTGCCCCTTAGTGTCGGTGTTTGTTACCGGGGTGAGGTGCAGGAAGCGGTGCATAGAAGTACTCTGCTGTCTATAAAGCACGTTTGGAAATATCACAGGACGGTTCAGTGATAAGCTAAGTTAACATCTAGTTAGTCTAGCAAGATTGCCTAGCTGGTAGGTTTCAGGGCTGACGCCCAGGTGTTCTCTAAGTCTGACTTCCGCTGGCCCTCTCACATTTCCTTGCTTTCTTCCCAGTGCTGAAGGGGCAGAGAGCTAGTCTGTTGTTTGTTTCCCTTGCTCTCAGGAGTGTGGCCGTCTGGGGACGTGTAGTGTTTGCCACCCAGGAGACGTCTCCCTATGACATAGCGGTGGTGAGCCTGGAGGAGGACCTGGACGGTGTTCCCATGCCAGTGCCTGCTGAGCGGTTCCATGAAGGTAAAGGACGAAGAGTCTGGACAAGGGTCCCTCTGGTCTGGAGTGAACCTTGAGAAGGCGGGTCCATATTGGGTACTCTAACCATGCCAGACCAGGGCTCCAGTCTCTGGGGAGTGCTCTCTTCCCCACCCCTGTGGAATTAATGAGTCAGGGTCACATTAATTCACAGCGATGTAGGTTCTTCTTGAAAGCCTCCCTGCATATGCCAGCATGCCCAAGTGGGCAGGTGGAGTACCCTGTGAAGGGTAAGGCACACCCCTTCCCTGAGGGCCTAAGTTTGTTTATTTTATTCATGATAGTATGTGCACGTTTCAGGGAGAGAGAGAGAGAAGCACCAACAGGGTCTCATCATGCCACTATTCCCTTTTCCAGCCCTCTAGCTTGTCAGGGTCCTGGGCAGGTGTGTACTCAATCCAGCATGTTTTCAGGCCAACCCAGGGGTCCAAACTGCAGTCAGCCATGTGGCTTATAGCACTGTAGTCATCAACTACACCACCAGGCTGGGCCACCAAGGGACTTCTTAGTACCAAGAGATGGATGTTAATTCCACAAACATTTATTGAGCACTTAGCTAGATGCCAGGAATTCCAAAAAGCAACTGCCCAAGCTAGCAAGGAAATGAGGACTGGGAACAGCCTGACGCACAGGTGAAGCGGTGAGGAGATGCAGTGCTAGGAACTCAATGCTCAGTGGGCCTGCTGGTCTCTTCCTGCTGGGAGACCTGGGAAGGCCCCTGGGAGCCATGAAGAACTACACAGAACCTCAAAGGGCAGAGAGGGTGTGGGCCTTTATCCAGTGGAGGGATGGGGTTGGGAACTCAAGTCCTGCCAGACAAAGGAGTCCCCAACTTCCCATCTCTACTAGGTGAGGCCGTCAGTGTGGTGGGCTTCGGCGTCTTTGGCCAGGCCTGTGGGCCCTCGGTGACTGCGGGCATCCTGTCGGCTGTGGTGCGGGTGGATGACACACCAGTGATGCTGCAGACCACGTGTGCAGTACATGGCGGCTCCAGTGGAGGACCCCTCTTCTCCACCCGCTCGGGGGACCTCTTAGGTAACCACCACAGCTCTCTGGGAAGATGGTGGGCTGTATGCCTAGAGGTAGTAAGCCAGAGTCTTCAGGCTCTTCTGCTCCTGAGGGTGGAGAGGGGAAGATACTGAGTTGGGTAGGAAGCGATCTGGGCTCTTGTCTCTTCTCTGACCTATTCTACTGCATGACCTTAGGTGACTTACTCTTATTTAGTCTGTGAAATTGAACCCGATGTGGGCTGAATTCCTAATATTTCACAGGAAACTGGGATTTTTTTTTAATGCATAGTCATTAAATCTTTTAATTTTTAAATATTTTCAGTACCTCAGGCTTTTTAAAAAATGTCTTTAAAAACCAGTTTTGCTTTTTTTGTTTTTTTTTGAGAGGTTTTTGCTATAGGACACGTGCACTTGCCAGAAGACAGAGATAGAGACAGAAAGCGAGAAATCACCTCCTGGGGGGGATGGCCACACCGCAATCCCTCCTCTTCCATTCTCCTCTCAGGATCTTGGGCATGCATGCACACACACTTGGTGTGAGTTTAAGCCACTGGGTCCAGTACTTGAACTGCGGTCAACTACATGGGAGTCCAGCGACATAGCCATTATGCCAACTTCTGGTCCCAAAACCAGTTTTTAAATAGTTTTAGCAATTAAAAAAAAAGTAAATCCTAAGTCTGTGTAGAAACTTCCAGCTTCAGTCCAACATCACAGAATTTGTGCTAGCCTGTATTATTCCTTACTTTTCTCATTTCTCACTTCTTTCTCCCCTAATGAGGAAACTTGCTTTTGCTATCTATGCTATATACACTTGGTCAACTCTAGTATAGGTTATCAGAAAAGTTATGATGCATATTTGCATAGAAAACCAGAAAATACGTCATGATTTTTCCAGCAATTCAATGCAAATAAAGCAATTCCAGAATTTGTAACTGACACCTCTGTGAGCAACCCGTTTACCAAGTATAGGATGCTGTTTGAGTGTGTACAGTTCTTTTTGTCTCTTCCTTTTCAATTTGCCAGAGGGTGCATGCATTTGCCCAAGAGACAGACAGGGAGAGGGAGAAAGCACCTCCAATGGGACATGGTCACAATCTTCTCCATTTCTCCATTCTTTGAGGATTTGTGGCATGCATGCACATGCGACTGCTGTGTTCTTCAAATCTGTGGGTCCAGGACTTGAACCTGGTCATGTGGATCCAGCTCCCATAACCACTAGGCCACAGGGCCACCCCCCAGTTTTTTCCAAATTTAGCCTTAAATTGTCAAATCAAAACAATTTCCAGTTACTTGGGCTAATTTTTTTCTTTCTCTTTAGTGTGATTATTTATTCATCTGTAATGCAGTTGAGGTCATGTGTCATAGTGTTTCCTCATAACCTTTATTCCCACATTTTTCTTTTTTTAAGTATATTTATTTTTTCTGTAAGAGAGAGGGAGACAGAGACAGCTCCCCAACAGGGTCTTCGTCCTGTGGTCCACCACCAGTCCTAGCTGGCCTAAGTCTCAGACATGTGCACACCGACATGCTCAGGCAAGTCCCAGGCTGCAAACTGGACCTTTCCAATGTGAGTCCAATTATGTCATCACTGCACCACCACATGGCCCCCAGTTTTTCCATTTCTTCCTATATGTTGGTTGACTTTTAAACCTTATTTACAGGTAAGTGGATGCAGAAGTGTTTGGGCATAAATTAGTATACCAAAATACTAATTAGTATACTAACACACACACACACACAATTGGTGTCTCATAGTTCTGTCACCTGAGAGAGATTAGAAGCAGTGATATTCCAGTTGCAATGGACACACCTAAAGCCTAGATCTAAGGAACCTGGAACTGGTTGAGTCCAGGACCGGGACAAGGAAATTCCAAGATGAGCCAGGACATCTTGTGGAGCCAGAAGGGAAGTGCTAACAACAAAAACTATGGGGGCGTGTTGAGTGTTGAAGGCCAGAGCCAGCCCCAACGAGCTCCCATTGGAACCACTTGAACAAAACAAATAGTGATAATGTTGGCTTGTAATCCAAAGAAAGGAATGGATGTCTTTGAGTCCACACTGATAGAAATAAATAACTGAATAAATTCAGAAATGGAGACAAATGACAGCTCTTCCCTACAGAAGAATTCCAATCAATGTAGAGGAAGAAATGAGGGAAGTAGAAAATCACTGTTAGGGGGACCAGCAGGTGGTGTAGTGGTTAAGGTGCTGGTCACTCCCTCATGGCCAACTGTGGTTCAAGTCCTGGACTGGGTGGTGGCTTATTTTCTCTCTCTCCTTCTCTCTGTATGTGGGTCTCTCTCTGGTCAAATTAAAATAAATGAATAAATAAATAAAATTAAATAAATCTTAAAAAATAAAATCACTGTTAGGACTCAACAGTGCGAATTGCTGCAGACAGGATCCACTGCAAAAATTAGTGGGTAAAGGTTTAAGTAGAAACAGGACATCTGCATATCTTCCCCAAAATAGGTAATCCTTACAAAGGGGAAAAGAACAAATCTGCAGTGGAAAGGCCTGGCAGATACCATCCGAGCCAAGTGATCAAGGTTAACGTGACAAGTGCTACCTGGAGATATCAGACACCTGTCATGACGCACCGAGGACATGTCACTTCTATAGGATCCTCTCCAATAATGCGTAACCTCAGTCTAATTACAAGGAAACATCAGGTCGACTCACACTGAGAGCCATTCTACCAAATAACTGTGCTGTGCTCTTCAAAGCGCCAAAGCCAGGAAAGTTAAGTAGGAAACGAACCAACATAGCCACATTACGCTAACTGCTGGTCCCAGTTCAAGTATTTCTTGCTGTCTTGTTCTGCACCCAATGCTATTCTAGATATTAGACTGCATGAACAAAACACAGAAGTCCTGCCCTAACAGAGCTGATGCTAGTAGGAAGGAAACAACAAAATAGTGAAACTTACTGTGTGTTGGATAGCCAATGTGTCAGGGAGAAAGGGAAGCCAGGAAGCAGATGGAGTGTGGGAGCAGGTGTCACCAGGAGGGAGTTGTCAGAGATCCACCATGGAGATGGCCCTCCTCTCTTTCTTTTCTTTTCTTTTTTTTTTGAGAGGTTTTCGCTCTAGGGAGCGTGCACTCGCCAGACAGACAGAGAGAGACATAGAGACAGAAAGCAAGAAATCACCCCCCAGGGGGGATGGTCACGCCACAATTCCTTCTCCTCCATTCTCCTCTTGGGATCTTGGGCACGCACGCACATGCACCTGGCGTGAGTTTTAAGCCACTGGGGTCCGGGACGCGAACCGTGGTCGACTACATGGGAGTCCAGCGACATAGCCATTATGCTAACTGCTGGTTCCCCCTCCTCTCTTTCTCATCCAGCTCTCTGTCCCCTAACTTACATCCTCTCTTGCTCTCTGACTCAACAGGCATCATCGCCAGCAACACCCGGGACAATAACACAGGGGCCACCTACCCCCATCTGAACTTCAGCATTCCCATCACAGTGCTCCAACCAGCGCTGCAGCAGTACAGCCGCACTGGCGACCTGGGCAGCCTCCGAGAGCTGGACCGCGCTGCTGAGCCAGTCCGGGTGGTGTGGCGGCTGCAGCGGCCCCTGACGGAGGCCCCACAGAGCAAGCTCTGAGGCTGTGTGGTTGCTCGAGGGAGAAGAGTGACCTTTATGCCAGAGAAGTGATGTAGGTGTGATGGCAGCTTCAGGGTCCAGGGACCAGCTCCTGCCTGGGCATGCCAAACTGGGTGCCTCATCACTGCCTGCTGACTATAATCTGGGTGCTGGGCCCTGGAACCAACTTCTCAGGCTCAGAGGTCCCTAACCTGGCAGCCCATTTTAGGGTGTTGAGCCCCCACTTATCTCTGTCTTCCAGCACTGGACTCAGCTGTGTTTTCCTTCCTGGGAAGCTTAGCCCAGCTGTACAAAAACTCTAGTCCTGATGGGCAGGTGCTGGCCAAAGGCAGGCCAGCCCTGGCTGTGTCTGATCCCTTCAGTGGTCCCTGGCCACGTGGAGCCACTTCACTGGGGTCTTGGGTCTGGTCTGCCTCAGTTGGCGTCGGCTGCCAGAGAGCTCACATTTCAGGATACCTCAGCAGAGAGGCCCACTCGAAGACCAGAGAAGGCAAGGAGTGAGAATGGGGGTCTCCCCGCCCTGCCAGGCCTTACAAGTGGATGGGCCTTGAAAGTCAGGACTCCGGGGTCTTCATACTCATGGGGGCATCTGACACAGTGCCTTCACTTTCCAGCCCACTGCCTGGGCCTCAGGGATCTTGGACGGTGGACATTTCTGGATTGGTTTGGGAATAAATGGTCTGCTGGAGAACCCCTAAATGTCACATATCAGATTCTTCTTTTCAGTCTTAAGAGTTGATTGAGGGGCCGGCAGGTGACGTGGTGGTTAAAGGCACCGGATTCACATATCGCTGACCATGGTTCGAGTCCCAGACCTGATGACTCATTCTCTCGCTTTCCCTTTCTCTCTCTCTGAATCTGGTCAAATTAAAAAATAGTAACAAATGAAATTAAATATTATAAACATTTTTTAAAAAGAGTTGAATGAGGCATAGGCAAATGCCAGACAAAGAAACACTCTTCCTGTTCTCTTGGCAGAGTTTGATCTCACAGGATCCTCTTGCCAGACTGGCTCTGGCCACTGGGCACAGCACCTGATAGTGCTGGGTGGGATTTGCAGACCCTGGAAGGTGGTGGTCTTGGCCTTGCAGTAGGTGTTTACAGAATGCCCAGGATGTGTGGAGGTCTGCCTTGGACCTTAGAGTGGGCAGGAGTTGGCGATTTCAAAGGTGAAAGGCCAGGGCAACTCTTAGGTGCTAACTAAGATCAGCCCTGCAAGTTGAAAATGTTCACTGTGTGTCCAGGGTCCTGCGTGTGCAAGCCCTCCAGAAATGACTCACTGGCAGGTCGACTGCTATTGGGCATGGATAAAGGGGGGTATTTCCAAGTAAGTACAGGGCCTGGAAGTAGTTTGTTTTCAATATTGGTTGAATGCCAAGTCTGGGCAACCACAGAACACTCCTATGCTGGTTGTTTTACAGACTAGGCCAGAGGGCACGGTGAGCTTGAGTGAAGTCCCATAGTAGATTAATGGTAGCAGGGGGCTAGTTTCTGAAGTCTGACTTTGCTGGGAGGCAGAGTGGGAGGAGGGCTTATCTGAGCATGTGTGGGTACCAGGGCACTCACAGGCTGTTCTGTGAATAGAGGAACTGGTGCCCGCAAGGGCAATGAGAAAGGCAATCGTGATGTGGAAGAACATGCCCAAGGATAGGGGAGCACGTAGGGCTTCATCAAGGTGACTCACTCTGAACTGTGAAAGAAGAGTTCAGGGTTTACCAAGTAGGACCAACAGGGTATTCCAGGCCGAGAGCAGTGGAAGCTGAGACAAAGTGTGAAACCATGTATTCTGAATATGCTAAGTAGAAAATCGGAAAGGGGCAACACGAGGTATAGGAGCCAGTCACAAGGGCCATGGTGAGAAGATGGCTAAGGCAGGGCTGGTGGGTGATGATACAGAAGGTGCAACTGCCTGGATGTAGGGCCAAGACAGGTCCAGCGGTGCCTGGATTTTGGCTGGGATGGTGATGGGGTAGCTGACAAGTTTAGGGGCACCATCTTTCCTTGAGGTGTTTAAGTAGAGAGGTGCATTGGGCTATTGAATAAATGGATGAGTTAAGATAATGCAGAAAAAGATACTCCACCTCCAGTGGCTTAAGGCAATAGATACTAATTGCTCATGTAAAGTCCAGAGCAGAGTCTGCCAAGCAGAGAAGGCTGGCTCTTGTGTAATAGTGACTAAGGGACTCAGGCCTTTTCCTTCTTGTGTCTCTATCATTGCCTCTGGGAGACCTGGCATGAGTCTTCTGCCAGGTCTTGTGGGAAGAGAGAAAAGAGAAAATGATAATTTTACTGTTTTTTAAAAGATAATTTTACTGGGGCCAGCAGGTAGTGTGGTGGTTAAAGTGCTGGACTACCACATGGCTGACCATAGCTCAAGTCCCAGACCTGGCAGCTTGCTTTCTCACTTTCTCTCTCTCTGGTGAGCGCATGTGCCCTGCAGCAAATCAACAAAAAACACTAGGCGTGTATGCATGCCCAGATCTGGACAGGATGGGGAAGTGGAGAAGGGATTGTGGGTTGACTCGCTTTGGGGAGTGCTTTTTCCCTACTTTCCTATGAATGCACAATGCCCTCTGACAATTATTTTTATTTTATTTTTTTACTTTAGGGGCTGAACAATGACACAGTGATAAAACATGACACTGTGAGGCTGACCCACATGAGAAGGTTCCTAGTTCAAACCCAGAGATATCCCTGAGAGGACTAAGCACACGTGTGACCATGGCCTAGGAATGGCTAGTGTCGTAAGTGAATTATGATGTCAAGAGCCTGTTAAGGGGCGCCTGTCTCTCTTTTGCTTATGGAAGAAATAGATATTTTTTTTCTTGTGCGGTTTTTGCCTTAGGGCGCATGTGCTCACTGGAGAGAGAGAGACACAGTGAGAGAGAAAGTGAGAAATCACTCCCCAGGAGGGATGGTCATGCTGCAATCCCTTCTCCATTCTCCTCCCAGGACCTAGGGACATGTGCACACACATGCCTAGTGGGATTTTCAAGCTACCAGGTCTGGGATTCGAACTGCCGTCGGCCATGTGGGAGTCCAGTGACATAACTGCTATGCCATCTGCTGGTCCCAGAAATAAACAAACTTGAAAAACAATTTTATTTTGGGATAATTGCAAACTTGTAGAACAGTTGTAAGAATCCCCATATACCTTTCTTTACCCAGAGGCCCCCACCCAATTTCACCAAGTGCCCCGATGATGTTCTGTGCAACAAAGCCATCATGAGTTACACTCGTTTACCGTTGTCCTGTTCTCCCTTGACCAGGAGCAGCTTCTCTGTCTGTCCTTGAGTTTCATGCCCCCAACCTTTCTGAAGATAACAGGGCGGTCATTCCATATACTGTCCCTTACTTTGGGTTTGTCCACGCTTCCTTAAGATTAGATTCAGGATCTGCATCTTCAGGGTTATCACAAAGCCATGTCTTCTTACTGTTGCGTTGTCTTGGCTAACGCACGGCGCGCCTGTCCTATTGGAGGTGATGTTATTGGTGACCCCTTGAGTAAGATGATGCCTGCCAGGTTTCTCTACTATAGAGCTGGATGCCCATGTTGAGGGTCAACCTCACTAGTGAGTTCACTGGCTAATGGATAGCCAAGCAAAAAATACACTTTGGTTGTATGAGGGTTTTTCACAAAGTTCATGGAAAATGATTATTATGAGAAAATTATGCATGAATTTCAGTGCTTTTCCTGCACCAAAATAAACTCATTCCATTTTCCTGTGAACTTTTGAAAGTTCCCTCTTACTTATTTTAAGGAATTATTTTTAAACTTTATTATTATTATTATTATTTTTTTTTTTTTTTTTTGCCGTGGGTGCTCCCCAGAGAAAGGTGGAAGTCCAGTGCCTTAACCACCATGACATCTGCTGACTCTAGTTCTTCCTTATTTATTTATTTTTTAAATAATGATTTAATTTTATTATTATTATTATTTTTTTAATTCACCAGAGAGAGATGGAAAATGAAAAAGCAGGCTGCCAGGTCCAGACTGAAACCGTGGTCAGATGTGTGGGAGTCCAACGCCTTAACTACCATGCCACCAGCTGGCCTGGTTTCCTCATTACATTTGGGGCTCTCTTTGTCACGGCAGCAGAACCTACCCTCACTAATATAGTCTTTCTGTAGCTGGGAGCACTATACCAAGCCACACGGTATAGGGGGAGAGAAGAAATGGGGATGTCCCTCTGTCCTTTGAAGTTTACAGATTTAGCTGAAAGTACCCATGGACACTACCCATACCTGCCTGCCATCTCTGACACCTGGAAATTCAAAGACAAAAGTCCTTGGGACCAGCAGTTAGCATAATGGCTATGTCGCTGGACTCCCATGTAGTCAACCGCGGTTCACGTCCCGGACCCGGTGGCTTAAAACTCACGCTGGGCGCATGTGCGTGCGTGCCCAAGATCCCGAGAGGAGAATGAGAATGGAAGAGAAGGGATTGTGGCATGGCCATCCCCCCTGGGGGGTGATTTCTCGCTTTCTGTCTCTCTGTCTCTGTCCGTCTGGCCAGTGCAGGAGCCCTATAGCAAAAAACCTCTCAAAAAAAAAAAAAAAGACAAAAGTCCTTTGTCATGCAGAGAGCCAGGATCTTTAGTTCTAAAGCTCTGGGCACTGCCAGGTGGGAGGAGGGGAGTGATATGCAGTGAATAGACAGGGAAAAGACGTAGGTTGCATAAGACCCTGTCCCCTTTCCGGGATCACTGTCTTCTGGTAGCCAAGGAGTCAAGTGACACCAGAAAACATCCTTGATTTTCATGGTTTGAGATCTGTCCGTAAAGATGGGCTCACATGCCCTGACGTGCCATGCCCAAGCCCAGTGTCAGATCATCTCACATCTCTCCCAGCTTTATTTTTTTAAAGAATTATTTTATTTTATTTATTTGATTTATCATTATTGTTATTTTCAATTTGACTAGAGTGAGACACAGAGAGGGAGAGAAAGCCAGAAAACAAGCTGTCAGGTTCAGGACTTGAACTATCATCAGCCATGTGGGAGTCCAGTGCCCCTAACCACCACGCCACCTGCTGGTCCCCTTCCAGCTTTATTTTTATTTATTTATTTATTTTTAAGAATTACTTTATTGGGGACCAGAAGGTGGTGTGGTGGCTAAGGTGTTGGACACTCCCACATGGCTGACCATGGTTTGAGTCCCAGACCTGGTGGTTTGCTTTCTCACTTTCTCTCTCTGGTCAAATTAAAAAAATAAATGAATGAATAAATAAAATTAAATAAATAATTTTTTAAGCATTTTTTTCTTTTTTAAACTTTATTTATTTACTCATTTAAATTTGATCAGAAAGGGACATAGTGAAAGAAAGAAAGAGAGAGAAAAGGAAAGTGAGAAAGCAAGCTGCCAGGTCGAGGACTTGAACCACGGTTGGCCATGTAGGAGTCCAGCATCCTTAACCACCACGCCACCTGCCAGGCCCAAATAAATAAATCTTTAAAAAAAGAATTACTTTATTTAACTTTATTTATTTACTTATTTTAATTTGACCAGAGGATGACAGAGCAAGTGAGAGAGAGAGAGAGAGAGAGAGAGAGAGAGCGCGAAAGTAAGAAAGCAACCTGCCAGGTCCAGTACTTGAACCATGGTTGGCCAAGTGGGAGTCTAGCGCCCTTAACTACCACACCACCTGTCGGCTCTCCAGCTTTATTTTCTTGCTGCACTTTTTGGAGCCCTTTCCTTGCA